CACCTGAAGTACAGAACTAGAATGGCAAATCCTTGGCTTTCACTAAATATAAAAAAATACAGGACACCACACCAGAATGGGGCTTTCTAGAGGCTCCCCAGCAAAGCCACACACACACACACACACATACACACACACACACACAGACACGTGCAGTCTAGAGATTAAGGAGCTGAACAGCCGTGGGCACTGCTATGCATTCTTCAATAAAGCAATTAATCTCTTGATTTAAACGTCTTTGTCTGTACAGTGCCTGGTGATACTCTTCACTGGGGGACACTTTCACAGATAATATGTGTTTAGCCTGATGCCTTGGCACACAGTCGTGTTTGATAAAAATGAACTCTTTACAGTTAGGATGGGGGGACTAGCTTGCCTGATAAGGGCTGTCTGGCTTTTAACTGAGTGAAGTCTAGAACTTTTAAAGGAAGCACTGGCCAAAAGAAATCAAGGAGTGGGGAAAGGAAGAAGTCCCATCAAGGACTGAAATGTGGTTTTCCCTCCTGCCGAGAGGGCCCCTGCACTCCATAAACTAGAATGACCCTAGCTGAACTTCCAGGCTTGAAAGTATGGTTGCTTTTTAAAAGGAGCTCTTCTTTCTCAAGATCAATTGTTCAACAGAAATGAAAAGCTTGCCCTCGGAAAAGGCTCAGTCCTAAAACCTGCAGGGTAAATCATTAAAAGCAAGAATGTGCCATTTCTCCGTAGGGAGCAGGGCATGCCATGCACGCTGTGGTCTGACCACTGCCACTCTGCTGTCCCTCTATTCTAAATTAACCAGAAACCCAAGAACCTGAAAGCTGAGCTCTAGCTAACATTATTTAAATGAACTGGCTGTTAAGTGAACCTTAAACCACATGTCATTTGGTGGTGGGGCTGCCCTGGGCCAAGAGACCGTTAACACAGACAGTTCCCAGCTTACAAACGGATTGTGTTCCAAACGTGCATTTGGAAGAAAGAATGCATTTTCCCAGAGAAGCGAGGCTACAAACGGCAATTAGGGCCACAGGCCAGCTCACAAAAAGCATGTGACCATAATATGGCAAAACTCTGTACATTTTAGCTGAAAAAGAAAGAAAAAAGTAGAAATCATTAGTGTTTACAATACCAATTAATTAAAGAGATAAAGTTGATATCCTTCATTTGTGCTGAACACTAGTGCTTAAGTTATAGACTATTTAATTAGAGGTGGATGGAAATGTCTATCCAGGTAGCCTGAGGGGCCAGGAAAGCAGGGGCTACAGGAAAGAACTCTCATCACTGGAGATCAGTCCAACTTGATGGGGTTTCCGCCAATTCTAAGAGGCAAGTATCTACTTCTGAAGACCCAACAGTGCCAGAGAGGGGTTTGCAGTGGCAAGGGGGTGGATACTGGCTTCAGTGGGACCTGACCCCCTTAGCTGATTGATCCTACCAATGGCAACTTTGCCCCTGGACCCAAGAATGGATGGAGTCCAGAACCTTTGGGGTCTCTTCTGAATTAGTTTCCAAGATCAGATGAGCACTTGTTACTTGAACTGCCTGGATGGTGTTGAGTTTGATATGCCCCCGTCCCCACAGGCACCGAATCTGCTCTTGTCTTCCTCTTCACAGAGGAGACTCCCTCAACCCCAGCCAATTGTCTGGATCCTCCCTTTGCCACCCTACTCCATACGTGACCAGCACTGCACCTGGGTGGGCACATTTTGAACCACCTATTTTAACTTAATGCTGAAGATCAAATGCACATTTTGTCTGTCAATATGTAGGAAGAAAGGGAGAGGAGGAGGGAACGGAGAGAGGGAGAGACAGAAAGAAAGAGGGAGGGGCTGTGGGTGTGGATTAGTGGTAGAGCGCTTGCTTAGCATGCATGGGGCACTGGGTTCAATTCCCCCCCCCCGCCCCCCACCTAACCCCCGCACCCACCCCTCCGCACCACATAAAAATAAATAAATAACAAATTTAAAAAAAGGTATTGTGTCCATCTACAGCTAAAAAATATATTTAAAAAAATAAAGACAGAAAGAAGTGGGCTGGAGATGGGGATCAGTTGTCATTTGTAGAGCAATAGCATAGAATTGCAAGATCTAAACATCAGGGGGCACCACGCACCCAGAATGTAGAGGAAAAGAAACTTCTGTTGCATCTGGAATATTTTATTTCTTATTTTGCTGTCTTGGAAGAATCCAGAAAAAAAAAACAAAAATTGAGGACCTCCTGGGCTGGATAAAAACATTGGTCTTTGCCATAGAAAGACAAACCAGACACTAGGTAGGAATGCGACAAGTCCAGATGTGGAGATTCAGGGGCCAGACTCCTTTTTGTAACCACAAGCTCTTGCAGGAACTAGCCAGGGGTCCTAGAGAACCTAACCACTTCCCACTGGGCCCCACTTCTTAAAGGTCCTACCATCTTCAACACTGCTACGCTGAAAACCAAACTTCTATCTAGCACATGACCCTTTGGGGGACACACTGAACCTATAACCAAATCACAGCACCAACCACTGCATAAAGCTGAGCTTACTTTACAGGGAAATGAGCCATTGGTTCTGGTTGGCTGGAATTTGATTGTAAAAGGAGGTCAGTATGAGAGGAGGAAAGATCAGAAGAACCCCATCATTACTGATGGCCGGGAAAAAAAGACTTCTTGAGTTTTGTTCTGATACGATTGTTGAGCTGAAACCAGAAGCTAGATGCCTACGTTTGTGTTTGGATGTGTCTATAGTAAAATGTGGATTTTTATGGCATCCTTCAACCAGGGAAGAACGTCTCCTATCAGGAAGGTAGAATTTTCATAGTGATCATGAGCCAGACTTTCACAGGCAAAGGAACTTCCATTTCCATCTGGAATATTTTATTTCATTATTTATTATCTATATTGGAATATAGATAAAATGTGAGGACCTTCTGGGCTGGAAAAAACATTGGCTTTTGCCACTGGAGGTATGCCAGAAGCTAGGCAGGAACATGGCGCGTTCACATGAACTCTCTATCTTTTTCTCCCCAAATCAGCTGCCATCTCCCCTATGCCCTTCTCAGGGATGGCAGCACCATCTGCCCAATTGCTAAGCCCCTCAAGCCCTGTGCTTGGGTGTCATCACTGAAGATCAGTCAAGTCTTGTAGATTCTATCATCTAAACCTCCTGGCCCCATCCATATCTCTCCATCTCTTCTCCACCCTATCTCTCCACACACTCACAAACCCCCAAGGCCACCATCACCATCAGTGGAACAATAGCAAAAGCATTCTGACTGGTCTCTTTATCTTGAGTCATGGTCATAGATTCCAAGTCTAATAATGTCATCCCTCACTTATTGTGAGGGCTTCCCACTCTTCCAAGGCCACCACCCAATCTGTTTAATCTGATATGCATAGCCCTTCTGAATCTGACAGTCACTTTCTTGAGTGGTTAAGAGCTCAGACCATGAAGTCAGACTTCTCTGGATTCAAATTCCCACGGTACTGCCTATTAGCTTTGAAACTTGAACAGACTTCAGAACCTCTCTGTTTCAGTGTTCCCATGTGTCAAATGGAAATATTAATAATAGTTTCCCTTAGGGAGTTGTTGGGAGAACTGAATGAGTTAATGCCTGTACAGTGCTTGGAACCAGCCAGGGCACATAGTGAGCTTTCTGTTAGTGTCAACTATTGCTTTTATTTTGGTTTCCACAGTTCACTGTGCTTTCTCCAGCCTGCAGGCCTTGGCATCTCCTGTTCCCTCCATCTGGAACACTCTTTCCCAAATCCCGATCACACTACAAGGCAATCTTTGGAAGTGAACAACAGCAGCAGCATCACCAGGAAACTTGTTTAAAAAGACAAATTCTCAGGTTCTAGCCCAGACTTGCGACATCAGAACCTGGGATGGACAATCCAAGTTTAACAGTCCTCCATGGGAGTCTGAGGTGCAACTAGAGCTGGAAACCAGGTTCATTTACCGTGGTAAATGTCCTTAGATGATTATCTGTCTCCACCCCATTAGACTGTAAGTCCCTCAACAGCACAGATACTTGCAGCTTGTTCCTCGTGGATGTTGAAAAAACTAAGAGCCCTCACAAACTGAAATGGAAAAAGCCTTGTTTTGTCGACCAGATGACTTAACTGTGTGTTCCTTCATTGTCTATTTCCCTCCATTAGCAGCCAAGTCTCTCTAAGGCTCACCTAAATATTCCAGCTTGTTCCCAGCCTTGAGTGCAGCCTTAGGCCTAAGTGCAAGGTAGAGGGCAAAGGAAAGCTGTGAGCCATTACCCAGGAGGCCCTGCAGCTCTGGAGCACCACAGGGGCCACTCACTGAGTCTGTGTGCTTTCCCGGGAGTGCAAAAGAGGTTCAATCTCAGCATCTGGACAACCATGGGAAATCTTGCCTACTAAGAGTTGTTTCTGGGGAAGATCTGAAGCGAAAACCTGCTCTTTACCTCCTCAGACCCTTCTCCTCCTCTCCCTCCTTCCCCTCCTGCCTCCTGCTCCTCCCTCCTCCTCCTCTTTCTTCTCTGTCCCCTCTGCTACTCCTCCCTTTCTCTCTTCTTCTCCCAGCCTTCCTTTCCTTCTCCCTCCTCTTCCTCTCTCAAGTCTCCCCCCTTCCCTCCCCTCCCTCCTCCCCTCCCTCCTCCCCTCCCTCCTCTCCCTTCTCTTCCTCTCTCTTCTATTTCTCACCCTCTGTACTCCACGTTTCTTTTGCTACCTACTTATCCTTGACCCCTCCTCCAGCCCTGACCCCTGATAACCAAACCACTGGTTCCTGCCAAGCTCCCTGGGCGGGTTGCTAGACATTTCCTTGCAGACCCCGCTGACAGGATGGCTTCTCCACCGAGAGGCCAGCGTCCCACAGGGCGCCCCGGGCGACCGCGACGCCCCTCGTGAGCCGCTCCACTGCGGAGGAGGCGCAGCGCGTGCCCAAGGCCCCGCGGTGGCCGCCAGCGCCCGCAGCCGCACCGCGCCGCCCGGGGCGGGGCCGCCCGCTCCGCCGCCCGCTGGGTCCGCACCGGCAGCGGAGGACCCCGGGGCCTCGGTGCGCCGCACGCCGCAGCCCGGCAGCGCGGGGAGAAGGCGGCATGGCGGCGCGCAAGGCGGCAGTGCTGCAGGCGTCCCCGCAGCACGAGCAGGTACCGTCGCGGGCGGGGGAGGCGCGGCCAGGGTCCCGGGGCTCAGCCGGGGCGGGGCGGCTCGCGCAACTGGTCCCCAGTCCCGCCGCCCACACGGTGAGGCCGGCCCTGAACAGGGACGATGACCACTGGAAGGTGCTGCCCGGGGACTGCCTATCCCCTCCCGTTTCTTCCTTTCCTCCCGGGCGCCCAGTTGCTTTTCTTCCTTGGCTCCCTCCCTCTCCCCGCGGCTTCCAGGATGACCCCATCCATTCCTATCCTCCACACTGGCTGCCTCTCTCCTGGGCAGTGGCCCCCAGGGACCCAGAGTAAAGGGTCATTGAAGGGGGGCGACTGAGGGAGGGTGAGGAGTGGATTTCAGGCCTTTGGCCGAACTGTGTGGTGCCCAGGCTTGTGCGTCAGCATCACCCTGGGGCTCCTTGAAAGACAGATTGCTGGGCTCTGTCCCCAGGGTTTCTGGTGGGTACCTTTGGATTTCAGGCTGATCATAATTAGCTTGTCTAACTAGCTCCAGCAGGTGCAGCTGATGTCTTGAGAACCACTAGGTTAGTCCTTTCCTCCTCCCACCAGTGGTGAATACATATATCCGATCCTACTTTAGTTTTAATTCGTAGGACAATTCTCAGGCTCTGACCAGATATAGGAGCTATGGGAATATCATCCAGAGATGGGCCTTTCTTCAGGAATTAACATCCTTAAAGCAAGAACAAAACTAACTCACGGGAATACATTAGTGTCTCAAAACAGGTTGGGGCAAAGAGTTCTAGAATTTCTGTTTGATGAGGTGGGTGTGGCGTTTGAGCTGGATTTGAAGAACAAATAGGATCTGACTACATGGTGTTGAGAAGGAGTTAGAATTCCAGATGAATGGAAGACAAGCACTAAATTGTTTGGGGTTGAAAAAAATTGCTGGGGGATTGGTCATAGGAAAAGACCAATCCCCCAGCAATTGGGGACTATACATTAGTATAGGCTGGGGGACTATACATTAGCGGGAACCCAGAGTTCATGAATACTTAAAATGAACCCTGGAAGAGTCGGCCATGGAGGACCTTGTGTAGAAACTATGCATGTGAGGTTTCTTTTCTAGAATGGGAGAACCTATAAGGAAACTCCATGACTCTTGCTGATTTCAAACCAGTATCATGCAAAGGGGCTATGGATTGAGACCCTGCCTCCCAGGAAAGGCAGAGGACTTCACACTATCAACTTTGCTGCTGATGTTTGCCCTTCTCAAAGCTAGCATCTCTGCCTTGCCCGCCATCCTCAGGAGGTGTGCACCCCTATTAATTCTGCCTTGGAAGGGACTCTCAGCTTTTCCTATAATCCCATGTTGAAAGATAATGTGGCCTAGGGATCAGCAGTCAAAGCATCACCTGGAAGCCTGCCAAAATGCAGTCTCAGGGGCTGGGGTTGTGGCTCAGCGGTAGAGTTCTCGCCTAGCACATTGGAGGCCCTGAATTCGATCCTCAGCACCACATAAGAAATAAAATAAAATAAAGGTATTGTGTCCATATACAACTAAAAAATAAAGATTAAAAAAGAAATGCAGTCTCAGTCCCCAGTGTAGACCTACTCAATCAGAATCTGCATTTAAACCAGACCCCAGGGTGATACTGTGCACTTAAAATGTGAGAAGAGCTTGGTTAAATGAGACTTTACAAGAGCTGAGGATACTAAAAGGAAAAGCAGTATAGTTACTGACCGGCCAACATATAGTAGCATTCCATCACTCTCAACCTCATTCTCTTTTATTTTCCTTCACCACCTTTAATGCTACCTAAAGCATGCCTAATTGTACATTTGATTGTGAGAGCCTTCAATATGGAAGTTCCAGGAGAGCTGACCATGGTTTATCTTACTAGCTGCTATAGTTCCAGTATCAGGAATCTAGTCTGACACATAGCAAGGCCTCAATTCCATATTTGTTAAATGAATAAGTGGGTGAATGAATGAATAGTAATGTACAACCTCATGATTGGGGGGCCCAGCTGTTCAGACTTCATCTCCCTATTCTCCATCCTCCTTCCTCAACTCCACATCCCACAGTCTGTTGAGGAGTTATACCTTGGGAAACTTTGAGACTCCTCCAAGAGCAGGAAGCATGGGTTTAGCAGCTCCCTCGTGGGCTTGTCCGAGGCCTGCTTTCCAGGCTCTAAGTTCTACCAAAGGGAGAAAATCAACTTCCTGCCTCAGAGTAAACTATACCCCTCCCTTGGCAGCCCTGCTCTTCCTGGCTCCTAAGAGAAACCGAGGCACAAACTGATTAAGAAACAATGAGTTTACTTGTGCTGAGCAGAACTGCAGCTCAAGAGACATTTCCGACTGGCTGGAATATATTCTGGGGTCTTACAGATTTCAAACAAGTTTTAAAGGCAAAAAATCCTCAAGTGGGGAAAGGGATTATATCAGTTATTTTTCAAGAACTTAGATTGGTGTAGACAGGATAGCAAGGCATCTTACAAGAAAGGGATTGAGTGATTTAAAGAATACACTTAGAGGGCTGGGGTTGTGGCTCAGCGGTACAGTGTTCACCTAGCACTTGCAAGGCCTGGGTTCGATCCTCAGCACCACATAAAAATAAATACATAGGGGTACTGTCTACAACTAAAAAAAAAAAAAAATACACTCAGAGCTGAGTAAAGCACTTGCCAAGCATGCACCAGCAATAGAGGAGGGGGAGAATATATGTAGATATAAAGTAATTCTTAGAAGAGGAAAGAAGGGTTCTATCCCCAGCAGCAAAAACAAAACAAAGAAATTCTTGGGAAAATTGCCTGGTAGCTCTCTATAGGACTGGAATGTTCTGCTCTAACGAAATTGTAACCCTCAGCATGTCAATGGCAGGATATAGCAACTTGCACAGGATCAAAAGTCTTCCATGTTTTCTTGGCCTAGTATTTTGGGATGCCTCAATCTGCCTTTACCTGTTTAGTATTAATTTTTCCATACCGTATAACATGAATTCCTTATCATGAGTACATTGCCACACACACACACACACACACACACTACACACACACACACACACCACAGGGACATTAATAGCTTCTAAATTCATTGTCCTGTCTTTGCCACTTGTTTCAGAAAGATTTTTCTAACAGAAGGATTTTGTGAGGGAAGGGTTGAAAGTGGGGAAATCGGCCTGGAGACAGCAGCTCAGGTGATGAAAGGCCATGCCAGCATGGTGGCCTTCACAAGTATACTGAGTGTGTGCTGCCACAGACGTCGGGATTCAGTGGTGGGGCAAGGCCCAGGCTGCCCTCCTGCCGATTCAGACAAGTAAATAAATGATCAAAGGTGCAGTTTGGAGACAATGCTCAGGGTGCCATGGACGTATGGGAAAGGCCAGACCCAAAGGGCTTCCTGGAGGAAGTGGGGCCCAAGGATGAGCAGGAATAAAGCACCCCCACATGGAGACTAGGGGTGGAGAAAATGCATTCAGGGGACAGGAATGTTCTGGTTGGTTAGAGCAGGGACAGTGGTGAGAAAACACAGGTCCCTGTGAGTCATGTTGACAAGAATTATAAGCAGGAAGGTAATAATATGGATCCGTTTGCTTTTCATGCCTTCACCCTTACAATTTGAAGAGGAGAAGAGTGAGGGCAAGTGTTTTAGTCAGCTTTTTTTGCTGCTGTGACCAGAACAACTGTAGGGGAGGAAAAGTTTATTTAGGGGCTCTCGGTTTCAGAGGTCTCAGTCCATAGACAGCTGGCTCCATTTCTCAGGGTTTGAGGAATCGTGGCGGAAGAGTGTGGAGGAGGGAAGCAGCTCACAGGATGATCAGGAAGCAGAGAGAGAGAGAGACTCCACTGGCCAGATACAAAATAAGTACCTCAAAGGCATACCCCCAATGCCCACCCCCTCCAGTCACACCCCACCCACCTTCACTTACCACTCAAGTTAATCCATTAGGGGATTAATTCACTGACTGGGTTAAGGCTCTAACAACCCAACTATTTCTCCTCTGAACCTTCTTGCATTGTGTCACACATGAGCTTTTGTGGGGACACCTCACATCCAAACCATAACAGCAGGGTCCCAGGCAGACACCCTGCCTACCTCCATGCAGCCCTCGGGCCCAGGGAGCCTTCCCTAGTCCTGCTAGCTGAAGAGCCACAGTCCCTCTCCCTGCTGGTTATTTTCTATCACACTTTCTGTTTATTTTCTTCATAGAAGTTACTATATTAGGCAATTTTTGTTTATTGTTCATTGTTTTCTCTAGAACATGGGCTGGATTCATGAGAACAGGAACCTCACCTGTCCTTTTCACCACTGTGAGCCACCTCTCAACCTAGTGCCTAGCACACAGGAGGTGGCCAATACATATTTGCTGAATGAATAATGAATGAAAAATGGATGGGTAGAACCATAGGGGACTGAAAGAAGTGGACATGTATGTGAGGTAGTATTTACAGGTAGGGTCAACAGAAAGGTTATGGGTTGGAGATACAGGGTCAAGAATGGTGCCCCCGTTTTCTGTTTGTTGGATGAAATGTGGAAATACTGAGTGAAATTGGAGACATCGTCAAGGGAGCACTTTGGGTAAAAAAAATTAATGTGTTCAGTTTGAGGCAGATTAGGTCACACATCTGAGGGACGTCCAAGTGGAGATACAAAGGGAGCTCAAAAGTGAGATTTGGCTGAATCAAAGAAAGAAGTGAGAGGTAGATCAAATCATGGCACAGAGATTGGAAAAAGGGACTTGGCAAGTAATCAGAAAAGGTGAAGTAATGGGGAGACAGAGTAAAAAGTCACTTTTGTACTGTTCTTTCTAGGTGTCATTGTTCACGTAGAATATTTAACATAGGAAAGTATAAGAAGGAGAGTAAAATATTCCAATGTATGTCATCACCAATGGAGCATTCCTGGTAACATTTTTGTAATGTCTTCTGTGAATCTTTTACTTTTGGATGTCTCTTTATGAAACCATACATTTACATAAATTGGCTCACATTATGCACAACAATTTTGAAGGCCCATTATCTCGTAACAATGAG